GCCGGAGCATGGGTAGCCAGGCAAAATAGTTTCAGTATAGTTTTTCAAATGGGTTTAATTATTTTATTTCAGATTACTAAATCATTTTTTTATGTTTAGTTTTAGTTTTAGTTTCAGTTTACTATAAAAATCAATTCCCTTCTTTCCCTCCAGTCATCATTGCCGTCTTTTAATCAGTGCAACTTCCATTGATTACAGGTTTGTTTCATTATACAATATGCCAACCCATGCATAAAGAATAATACAGGATCATGAGCTTAAAATTTTAATCCCCCCAAAAAGCGAAAACAGATTTGTGGAACATTTGCAACATATCCGGCTCCAAATCCAAATCTCACAGCATATCTGTCTGGAAATTGGACCCTTGTCAACAGTGGATTGATTACCTTTGAGGAGATAAAAGCTTGATGATGGCCATGACTTCTATTGCAATAAACCAGTATTTTCAGGATGTGATAATAATAATAATAATAATGGAAATTGTTTATTCAACCACAAGACCCAAGTTTCACTTGCTTCCCAAGGACCAATCTGTAACAGAGAATAACAATGTTTCCCCCCTCTACCTTTTCCATACATTACATATGCACTCGGCCCCTCAAACTCAACTCCGGACCTCGAAGCCAGTTCAACTGCTGTTTTTCATCGTTCCCCTCTAATCACGGACTGATTTAGGCCTTGGACACCAGGTGGGTGCAATTAAGTATCAGGTAGAACAGAAAACAAGTAGGCTATAGACCTCGTAGGGTAATAGTTGAATACCCCTGCACTAGGCTATACGGTACACATCTGGACACAAGTCAAGGTCGCTAAATCCGAAGAAATGCAATGATCAACTGAAACTAGGATCGGGAAGACACCAGTATCGCCATACTCATAAGTATCATGGCAAGGAAACAAAACACGAAGCGGATTTAACTTCTTTAGGAAAACAGCCCTAATGTTGGAAACAAACATTATGTTGTCATCCATTTTTTTTTTTTTATTTTTTTAGTCATTTAGCAGACGCTCTTATCCAGAGCGACTTACAGGAGCAATTAGGGTTAAGTGCCTTGCTCAAGGGCACATCGACAGATTTTTCACCTAGTTGGCTCGGGGATTAGAACCAGCGACCTTTCGGTTACTGGCACAACGCTCTTACCCACTAAGCTACCTGCCGCCCTATTTTCCAAGCTATAGCACACCATTTTTTCACATGCAGCAGGTTTTTAAAGGACCAAAGAATTTGGTGTGCTTCGTGTTTTCATTTTGGCCATGGAAAACATATATAGATAATGGTATCGTCCCGGCCCTAACTAAAAACCTTTACAAGGTTTTCTGCTCTATAAAGAGGGTTCAATGAAGCTGCGTGAAAATAAGTCCAACATGGCAGAACATCGTCCAATGGTGGTGGTACAGTCAAACCATAATAAATAAATAAATAAATGTGCTTATTGATGGGGCTGAGTGGGTGTGATGTGAAGCAGAGAGTTGGGGTTTCCTGTACATGAGTATGTCTTGTGGTCAATCCATCACATCTCCATATGGGGTCTTCTTAGGCCCAGCTGATTCCTCAGCGGCAGGCTCTGCTACTACAACACATACGGACACAGAGAGATGTCAGAGAGCTGAATAAACCACTGGCCTCATTATCCCTCTTCATCAGGAACAGTATTGTGCACACCAAGCATTCCGGTGGAGTCCATATAGAATAGAAAAGTAGAATAGCAGCTAGGGCTGTTGCGGTAACCAAATTACCGCCACACCGGCAGTCATGAGTCATGACTGCAGTAAAATTCCACGTGACCGTTGAGCCTCCTCTTATGCACTCAGGACATGCGTTGGTAGTACCCTAATGACCATCAGGTCCTAATGGCCTGGTACTCAGGGCTCCATTGTCCCTCTAACCACTCTGACATCAATGCAAATGAAATCGAAAATCACAAACGCTTCTCAAAACAGTGTCTTGCTTTTAAAACTCACCTCACAGTGATGATCAATTTGAAGAAATTAGTTCAAAAGCAGGTTGAAACTGAGTGGAAAACATGGCCGTTGTGGATGTTGTTTCAAAGCCTAACACAACGCTTTATAAGGTGATGATTATTTCAAAACAGCCATACACATATTAGAGCATATGCATAAGCTTATGAGCCCAAGCCCCCACCCCCCTCAAAAAACGATTACAAATTATGATTGTGCTTTTATACAAACCACATATTATGTGTGGCAGAAAAACACAAAACAAAACTGATTTAAGATGTCATTGGTACATACTTGGTCTAGCCTATACTCCAAAATGAAACATATTTGAGTAATCGCCTTTGAGTGTGGACTGTATTATTTTGCATACTGAATGGACTGGGTTACCTTATGCTACACTCCAAAATGTCTATCCACGAGTCTGGGAGAGAACGTATAAATCAAATCAAATTTTATTTGTCACATGCACCGAATACAACAGATGTAGGCCTTACAGTGAAATGCTTACTTACAAGCCCTTAACCAACAATGCAGTTCAAGAAATAGAGTTAAGAAAATATTTACTAAAAAAACGAAAGTAAAAAAATAAATAATAATAAAAGTAACACAATAAAATAACAATAACGAGGCTATATACAGGGGGTACCTGTACCGAACAAATGTGCAGGGGTACAGGTTAATCGAGGTAATTTGTACATGTAGGTAGAGGGAAAGTGACTATGCATAGATAATAAACAGTGAGTAGCAGTTGTGTAAAAACAAAGAGGGGGGTGTCAATGTAAATAGTCCGGGTGGCCATTTGATTAATTGTTCAGCAGACTCATGGCTTGGGGGTAGAAGCTGTTAAGGAGCCTTTTGGTCCTAGACTTGGTGCTCCGGTACCGCTTGCCGTGCAGTAGCAGAGAGAACAGTCTATGATTTGGGTGACTGGAGTCTTTGACAATTTTTTGGGCCTTCCTCTGACACCGTCTAGTATATAGGTCCTGGATGGCAGGAAGCTTGGCCCCAGTGATATCCTGGGCTGTACGCACTACCCTCTGTAGCGCCTTACGGTCAGATGCAGAGCAGTTGCCATACCAGGCGGTGATGCAACCAGTCAGGATGCTCTCGATGGTGCAGCTGTATAACATTTTGAGGAACTGGGGACCCATGCCAAATCTTTTCAGTCTCCTGAGGGGGAAAAGGTGTTGTCATGCCCTCTTCACGACTGTCTTGGTGTGTTTGGACCATGATAGTTCGTTGGTGATGTGGACACCAAGGAACTTGAAACTCTTGACCCGCTCCACTTCAGCCCTGTCGATGTTAATGGGGGCCTGTTCGGCCTGCCTTTTCCTGTAGTCCACGATCAGCTCCTTTGTCTTGCTCACATTGAGGGAGAGGTTGTTGTCCTGGCACCACACAGCCAGGTCTCTGACCTCCTCCCTATAGGCTGTCTCATCGTTGTCGGTGATCAGGCCTACCACTGTTGTGTCGTCAGCAAACTTAATGATTGTGTTGGAGTCATGTTTGGCCACGCAGTCGTGGGTGAAAAGGGAGTACAGGAGGGGCCTAAGCACACACCCCTGAGGGGCCCCCGTGTTGAGGATCAGCGTGGCAGATGTGTTGTTGCCTACCCTTACCACCTGGTAGCCAGCCTAGGTGATGCTGTTGGTTCATTTATTGTGCAGGGTGGCTTACAGTTAGCTTACAATTATAGTGAATTTGTATATCATTTTGAATAGCCTTGTAATAGGGATTTTTTTATATTTTCATAATTAATAGGCTGACACGTTACCTTTAGCTACAGAATCTCACCACAATGCGTTTCCATCTCCTCCACTCTCTCCTTTATTCCTTTCTCGAGCGCAGAGAGGGGCTGTCAACAGTTTAGTGAAATATGTTTCGTTGGGAAAACATGTTACTATCGATGTTCCCGAACAGATTTCACTTGGTTTCCCAAATGAAGCAATGGGTAGCTCAAGGAACAGGGTCAGAGAGCCCATGGCATACAGAGTTTGGGAGGAATATCACCTGTCGCACAGCCAGAGCATGCTCCTCAAACAGTGGTTGATGTGTGAAGTGAAATACGTTTTCTTATATTTATTTCTCAGCTGCTGATATTAAGCACAGCTCCGCTATAAAACCAAAGTAGCCTATCTGGCGTCATAAAAAACAGACCAGCAGGAAAGTGCATGGCCTCCATTCACTATTCGAGTGCATACTGATGACATGCATTTTTTCCCCCTGCCCATTTGACAATGGTCCATTCTAAAACATATTAGTAAAGATTAAATTGAGAATAGTCTGATGGGTGAAAATATGATCACTTGATGAGAGAACAGCTTTGCAGCCTGAGGCAAGGAACAGAGTGCAAGCTTATTTATTTTTTACTTTCTCAACTCATCAATAGCCTATAGTTGCATCATGCAGTCCATATATGTTTTGATTTCTAAGACATTCTAAGGTTTGTATCATTCACAACTAAAGTTGTCAAGTAATTCTAAATCTAGTGTATAGGACCTGTTTCAACTGATCACTTTTACGCTCAACATAGCCACTTCATATGCACACTTGCTCCGGAATGGGAAAAATATCATTTTGATTTTATTCAGCTAAGTTCAATTATATTCTTCTTACTATAAAATCATACAATATAAAATGATAGCAAGCGACTTATAAGGATATCTTGTCAGCTAAATTAACAAGCCTACAGCCTATGGCATGGAGCATAGCCAGATAAAATACAGTACGCCAACTCATATTCTGTTCTTCTAAAATACATTTTATTCATATCATAATGTTTCTTTAGACCTGACTCAAATAAATACTGGATTTATTGTGATGTGTATATTAACTTAATTTAGACTTTTTAAATGTAGATGTTCCAAAGGCACACATCAGTGGCTTGAATGCAGCATGTGTGCATGGAGGCCTGGAGATGTTAAACTTGTTTATGTTTTTAACGGTCAATTACCTTGAGACCGCCACTGCTCTAATAGCAGCTATACTCACTTTGTGCTGTTCTGTCTGGTACTTTCCCTGTCTCTATTAGGATCCATAGGTCAGTGCACTTCATTGTCTCCCAGCGCGTGCGTCACTGCATAGCTGCCCACCGACGAAGCCACTGAAAGGGAGGAAGGAGACAAAGAGGGAGACATGAGTGACGTTTAGTATCACTTAAAGTAGTATATCAGATGTTGTGTAAGTCAAATACTTTTTACCTGTTGAAATCAGCAGGTTCCACTGCAGAGGATATGGTAGCCTCTTCTGAATAACCTTTTGTATGAGAAATATTCCACCTGTCCCTATAAGAGGCAGTAAAATAAATGTTAGGAACCAATGGTAAGTGCCTTCAGCAATGGGCTTCACTAATGACCTCCTGTAGTATTTTTTATGCAGTCTTTTTTTATGAGAAATTACATGCCTATTCAATTCCGTGGAGAGTAGGACACTGTTTTATATGAAGTCAAAGCATCGGAAGAGCATGTGTCACTCGCTTAATATGAAGGTCCCTGTCCCTTTCATGAAGGCATGAGACTGACAGGCAGCATACTGTTGTAAACCCTGAGAGAGAAAACAAATAGTTTGTTGGTTGTGAATGCAACTATCATTTGAGATGATTGCTTGATGTTGAATATGTCCTCTAAAATGTATCTGGTCACAACACAGGCACAACTACACACACACTAGTAAAAAATGACAAGGCTGGATAACCTGCCAATAACGGCAGAGAAGCAACATTTCATCGTCCAGTTTTACATTGGAATGTGTGTGTCTTCTAAGCTGAGCTGCAGCGGCCAGCAATACGTTGCATAAAGGGTTGAAGAAGTGAAGAGAGAAAGGACCTACCGGATGTTTTGCTGCAAGCGCATCGTCCACTTTTGTGAGCCCAAGGTTGACCATTTTCATAAATAAAAACGTTGAAGTTGACGTATTTATTTTAACATTTAAAACCTAACAGAAGTGTTATACTCAGCCTCTACAATACAATATGGACATAATTGTTGTTATGAAACATGCAACTTCCGCATACACTTCTTCTTCGATGAGGTTTAACGGCGGTTGGCATCCAATAAATGTTGCATTACCGCCACCTACTAGACTGGAGTATAACTCCTTTATACTTTGCTTGAAAATATAAAAACATACCCTACCATCTAACACTACACTCACAAAAAATAAAATAATAATAATAATAAAATAACACCACCCTACTCCACTATTTAAATATATTTAGTCCTACCTCAGGCCAACAACCTGAAAGGATGGGGCACCACCACTTAACACACCCTGTAAATCTTCTGATGTCAAGTCTCGCACACCCAAATACCTCTCTGCAGCTGGCACCACAACCTCAATTTTCTGCAACTTACATTACATCCCTGCAGTACAGTTGATAACCATTGCTATAAATGCTAAAAATCCAATCTTACTGAAACATATATCACTTGTTAGCCTATCTCTCTGTACTTGTACAGATCTACTACTCACACCACTCCTCTCAGGATCCCTCCCCGTTGACCCATCTTCCTCTACTTTCTTCACTGCCTCAGCATATGACAACTTTTGCACTACTCTAACCCTGGAAACCTCAACCTGCCTCTCTCGCATGGGACATTTCTGATCCCCAGCACCATGGGCACCCCTACAATTAACACATAACACTACTTTCCCCAATGCTCCACATTCCTTTGTCTCATGCCCTTCTGCACACTTCTCACACCTAGGAACCTCCCTCCTACACACTGCTGCCACATGCCCATAAGCTTGACACCTGTAACAACGTAATGTATTCGGCACAAAAGCTCTTACAGGATTTACATTTACATTTTAGTCATTTAGCAGACACTCTTATCCAGAGCGACTTACAGTTAGTGAGTGCATACATTTTCATACTGTTTTCATAACTTATATATCCTAACATCAATTTGTCGGGCAAAGACTCAACATCAAAACTCAAAAGAACAGACAATGACTCTTCTGTTTCAGCACTCACCCTGTCTGCATCGGTCCAAACGACGAGCATCACAAACACCGGGAATCTTCCCCTTCAGTTGGTCAACTTTTACATTTACTGCTACCCCAGTAATCACTCCTTTCAATGGCACCCTTTTCTTGAGCGCAAAACAATTCACATCTCTTGCCCCCATTCGTTTAACGCGGAGCGCCTGCTCCCTCTGATGAGCAGAAACACAACAATTATCACAAGACCCCTTCTGGTTACCCTCACCGATTCCACAGCACCCAACTCTGTTTTCACCCACCCTGAAACCACAAATGTATCAGTCAAAAGACAAAGGTTCCACCTTTTCCAAAAACTTCACTCCTACTGTCACAGACTCATATTTATCCTAACCCTCGGTGCAATCCTCGGGCTCCAAGAACTTCACCACACCTTCCACCTCCGATACTTCGCCCTCATTCACTTCCATTTCTCCTCCTGTCTTCAGCTCACTCTGCTTTTACTTTCTACCATTCTTCTTTAACAACCCATCTCCCTTTTTTCTGCCATTTTTTACTGACTCAATCTCACCCTCTTCCTCCCTCTCTCTCTTAGACCTCCTCTGCCTCTCTTTTGCCCTCCATTCCTCCTCCGTATTCCAAGTATACGTCTCCTTATGATAATACTGCACTTCTCCTGACATACATCTTGTTCTTGCCTTCTCAAGGGATGCCATTTAACCGGATGTCACAATCTCCGTACAATCAGCGCTCAACAGTGCATCCCCCTTCCGCATACACAGTAGAAGAAATCATTAATATAATATTTTTTTTATGGAGGTTTCTGTGATACGAAAATAACTTACAACCCCATGTGGACAGGAGGCATCAGTGCAGCTCTAACTTGAGGACCGTTTAGGATCAAAAGAAAAATACATTACTGTATTCTATTTTAGGGGCAGAAAAATATTTTGTTTGGTGGGATAGTTTATTTTCTGCTGAGTAATACTTTTTTTACCATATGATTGATGCAAAAGTTAGGATCTATGACTTGAGTTTCACTAATTGAACATCAGTGATTTGAAACAAACAAGGGCATCAAAATAAAAATAAAATGTTTACAAAATCTAATTCTGTCCGTTAATACTAAAGAACAAACAGTGTTGATTCTTAATTTTTTCCATTCACACAGTCTTTATGAAAATCACTGGTATTGAGACAAGCCCCCAAACCCCATTCTCTGAAGAAGCACCATTCTCTGTTCGTTTTAGATTTTTCAGTGTAAACCCATGCTTTCCTCTGCGGATCATTATCAGCTTAGCTTGGTCCAGTTTGTTGTTAGAGGATATCTTCCTCTGATTTCGCTCTGCACTCTCGGTCCTGTCAAAAGCCTTGTCCTAGGACAGAGATGAACACAGACAGAGGGTTAGGGTTACAGGAAGGGAAGTCAAGGTAGAACACAATATTGAAAGACAGAAGAGCATTCAAGTTCCAGATGAAAAGTCAACAGAGCCCGTACCTGTCTCTCAGCAGCTTGTCTTTATAGTTTCCTGTCCAGTCCTGTTGTGTGTAGGAGGGAGGAATGGGATCGACTAACTTCACTGCATCTGTTGTATGTACCACCACAAGCAGACATAAACACAAGCACAGACATAGACAGAAACAGATTTGTGTGACAGGAATAGTGCATTTGTGTTGTTGCTAAAATGTAACATATTCACCTATATGATGGGGGATACAGGGCAGTTTTCCTCGGTCTCTGGGTCCTCTTCTGAGAGCACTCCACTGGAGAAGCATCCCTGGGGTTATACAATAGGTGCACCATTACGCATGACCAGTGAAGCCTCTATCTATCTGACACACAAATACAACCTACCTGGTAGTCTCGAAAACCTGACCCTAGGCAACAGCAGTGACTAGGTTCTGTTTTCAATTACTCTTTTGGCAACTGCGCTAAAGTAAAAAATAACCTCTGTGATCGCCATCTTGCCAGCTACTATTTCCTATTTTATTCAAGCGGATAAGGTAGTGACATAGGCAGTGACGTAGTTCCTCTATGCCAAACTGACCTTCTATTACGTACAGACGTGTTAAGGAACATTTGAAAATGGTTGGAGACAACCAGGATGTCTAGACAGACTACCTACCTGGGCTTATTTGGGCCCTGAGGCATGATGGGTCTAAAGGCTGGTCCATGCCACGGTGGGACTGCCTCTCAAGTAGGTTTTCCTCAGTCTTAGCCTGTAGATGGAGCAGGGGCCGGACAGGAAGCACAGCAGGGCAGACGGACACTCCTGCCCTCTCTTTGGCTCTCCTCCATAAGGCCTTTGCATCATATCCATTCACCAGCCCCATGGTCATCATCTAGAACAAAGAAATACAGTAAAACAGGATAAATCATTAGCACTTGGATTCCCCCAAAAATGGCTTTGTTACGGCACTGTCTAAGATATCAAAGTGTAGGTAGGCCTACCTCAGATGATTCCATTTTGCTGCTCTCACAGCCAGAAGATGAAGTGGAGACCAAAGGCTGCCTGGAGAAAGACAAAGAAAAGAGCAAGTATAAAATCACACAACAAATCTACACGTCAACATGATCTCCCCTATGACATGAGGGTAACCTGTGTCTCTCTCTGTTGTGGTCAGTCCCTCTGTATCGCCTGCTGGACAGATGGACCTTGGTCAGATGGCTGTGTGTAGAGTGGGGTTTCATGGCCTTTTCCCTGACCTCTGTGACCTTTCGTCTGACCTCTGTTGCCTCTGTGATTGATGGGGGTGATGGATGAGTCTTAGGAGGAGGCTGACGGCTGGGGGAGTACAGACACCTGATAGGCAGCCAGACGGACAGAATGTAACAACACCGTGGCTTGGGTTATGTCCCACACACATGGGAAAGAGCATCACTCGAGATTGAATACTCTTTAAGTCCACCCTCTCAATGCATAGATTCAGTCACACAAGCTACATGTTATAGATATAATCTGATTGTTTCTCCTCTTCTCACCTCTGTGTGTGTGGGTACTCGTCGCGGGCAGTCCTCTTAGTGACGGACTGGCTCTGAGAGCGCCCTCTGGTGGTGATGGCCGTTACAGTACAGGTGTAGGCCGTGTTGGCGGCCAGATGGCGGGCAGTGTGAGCACGCTCCGTGCCCAGGTAAGCCACGCGGCCGTTCAACCTCAGCTCGTAGTTGAACAGGCGACCCAGGGGCACCAGGGGAGCGCCCCACATGATCTGGAGCTCATGCCTGCCCAGCACCACCATGGTCAGGCCGCTGGGTGCGTGGTCCTGGTCCTTGGCTGTACGGACCTCCACCTCCGCACAGGGGCCCACCTCTTCCCCAGGCCCCACTGCACACACACCCAGCTGGAACAGGGTCCCTGGGGACAGACCACCCACTACAGCCCTGGCAAATAACATAGTACAATTTAAGTTTGGTGTTATGGTTAACATTTCAGGCTGTTGTGTGGAGGACGACAATGAATCTTTACTCAAAAGGAGCTGTTTAAAAATCTATATTGATTGTTACAGCATAACTTACTTCAGCTCTGTTGTGGTATCTAGGAGTGTTTCTCCACGATACAGTTGATACACCTTGGGCTTCAGTTCACCCGCCGGCGCAACCCAACTCAGTCGCACATGAGACGTTGTGCATCCAATCACACGCAGCTCCTGTGGAGGACCAGGCCTTGTCCCCGTCCCCTCTGATTCTATGGCCAATAGCACGGGCTCGCTGCAGGAGCTGGTGTCCCCATCAGAGGTAGAATGGATCAGTCGGAGTGAGAACTCATGTCCAGGTTTGAGGACTGAAACCGGTAAAGTCACATGACATTGGGTTCCACGATACAGAACTGTCTCTCTGTCCAGAAGGCTGAGGACAGAAAAAGAGACCCCATATCAGCTTATTGCTAAAAGGATTCCTTTTAGTATTTGTTTGTTATTTCTGCAATTCTATGTTAAATGCCAGTATGCCACAATGTGAAATAGGTTGTTTGTTAGCACTCTTTGATATTATTTGGTTTCCTCTAAGAATATTATGAGGAGGTCTATTTGGTGAAAAGGTCCCTATAATAACATTCTTGCATCCAGCTGACCTGTAAGTGACCTCTAGGCCACACTCAGGGAAACACTTCTCCCATGACACAGTGCAGGCCCCAGATGGGAGGCGTCTAGTTGTCGGGGGCAACGGCTTGACAAGTGGCTCCAGCTTCCTTAGACATGAGTTCACTTCCTCCCTGAGATCCTTGCCTATGGAGGGAGAGCTGGAGAGAGACTGGAGGAGAGAGTCAGAAAGGGATTGAGACAACATAATAAATGCAAGACAATTTAATTTCCATGAATTGCTATTGTCATTTCAATGTACAGTTATACCATTTTTACATTTTAGTCATTTAGCAGACGCTCTTATCTAGAGCGACTTACAGTTAGTGAGTGCATACATTTTCATACTGGCCCCCCGTGGGAATCGAACCCACAACTCTGGCGTTGCAAGCGCCATGCTCTACCAACTGAGCTACAAGGCACCAACAATTGATAACTGTTAATGGATATTGATATATTAAATCAAACTTTTATATAGTAATATGATAGATATAGTAATTTACATCCTATTGATATTGAAAAAAGTATCTATAGGCTATGTAATAACTGACCAACCAAGCAAACACTGCATTCCAGGTACATAAGCATAACCTGGTTCAACAGAAATGTTCCAGAGAGTACTGTAATAAGACAACCTTCAGTCGCTCCTTCAGGAACCTGTGCTCTCGCACTTGTAACACTCCAGCCGGTCGTGACACAAATACTTTCACTGCCCTGTGAGACCAAGAAAGGGAGGGGAGGGTGAGAGAGTGTGCTTCAGCTAGCTATCTATCTGACTTCACTATGATAGATTGTCAAATATTTTCCATGTTCCATGTTCTTTAGTGGTACAGTGACAGTGAGACTACTAACGCTTCTTAATCATGGAATGAGCTAGGCCCTAGGGTGTAAGATGGAGGAGTGAGTGACATACGTACATGGCAGCGAACCAGGCACTATCCTGGTCTTCTGTTTGTAAGCGGTAGAGAAGAGCATCAAGCAGGCTGGGGAGGGAGGAGCTACCCAGCACCAGAGCGTGTCCATCTTCTTCTGTTACTAGGCAACTCAATGCAAAACAGGCTGTCTGTCCTGCCTCTGGCCCAGCCAGCTCACTCATAAGGGCTTGTAGACTGTGAACCTGGAGAGTTGAAAAGAACAAGACCCTTTTGAATAACAGAGCTTGGTGTGGATTCAAAATCGACCATTTATTCCAAAATCCACTGTTCTCCTCAACAGATGTGTACTGTGTCTTACCAGTTGGTACTCTGGTGCAAATGTCAGAATGAGACTCCTGCCTCTTTCACTTCCACACAGACGGCCCAACGCAAAGGCTGCATTCATAGCAGTGTCTATTAGAAGTGAAAAACACAGCCATTAGAAGCATGCGGCTAAACGTTTATCTGTCAAACAAGAAAACCTGTCAGTGTCAACATTTGATGAAACATCCCGACTAGCGAAGCAATAAAACCATTCCTACTGGCATTTTGGGTTCAATAGTGCAGTGCATTAGCAGCACTATATTTTGCCACACAAGACCTTATCCCCCCGCGTCCTTAGCTCTGACCTGTATGGCTGTGTGCCAGGCATTGTACCAGGCAGCCCAAGGTGCTGGGGGCTGAGGGGTGGCGTAACAGGCCTTGGCAGGCCACCTCACACAGGGACAGCCTGGCCAGGATCAGGGCAGCAGAGTTCACCATGCTCTCCCGTCCCTGGTCCAGCAGGGTCAACAGGCTGTTCAAGACCTGCCCAAACACAGCCTGGTCTCTCAGTAGCCACTCACGTCCAGCCGAGCTCTCAACCTGAGAGAAGGGGATGATTCAAGACAGAGGGGGTCACTGGTAAGGCTGCCCCACACATACTCTCTTTTACACCCCCACCCCCACGCACACGCGCACAGACACACACACTCTATTACCAAAGAGGCTAAGGCGCCAGCAGCATTCATCACAATGTCTGGATCATCTCTGGTTAGGAGCTGCCCTAGAGCCCCAACAAGGCTGTTGCTGCCCTTTGGAGCCTGCAGCTGCTGCACAACCTCCTCTCTCTCCACCAGGACTCCAAGATGATAGGCTGCAGTACTGCAAAGCCTGAATGAGCAGGGGGGAAAACATTTACCACCAGTCAGCGTAAAGCCTGACATTAATATGCTTTAGAGATTTACGTATGTGCGTCTCGGAACCATGGTTATATAAATTACAAACAGCAGTAAACATGATTTTCTTCAGTAGTCACATTCAGTAGTCACGTTAAACTCAGGCATAGTCAAGGGAAACCAGCCGCCATATCACTTATTGGTGTTCAGAGTTCAGGGTGGGGACCTTGCTGTTATGGGAACACAAAGCGAGTCCCCTACAAGGCAGGGAAGACTTTTCCTCTCACTGCATAGGAGGGTATACAACTGTTTACTTGAAAGACAAGGCATTTTGCCTTTGCAGCACAAACTTTGATGTACATGGACTAATTACTTATTTATTACAGTAAATGAAAACATTGTACTGTATAGGTACACACACGAATATCATAATGCATTCTTGATCACAAGGTATGTTTGCATGACACACCTTTAGGAATAGAGTACGTGATGGGTTGTTTGAGAGCTCAGGTGTAAACAGGAAGTTATTTTGACAAAACTGTAACGTGCCCACAAGTAGTATCAATCTGCACTCACCATGAGTCTGTGGAGCTGAGTAAATGTTCTAGTGCCCTGGTGTAGCTCTCTCTCTTAGGAGCCTTCACTATCTCCTCCACCATCTGCTTTTTGCTCTCCTGAGCAGACCTACTCAGACCTTCCAATGCAGCCTTCACATGAGTGGGCTCTGGGCACAGGAGCATGGACAGTGAGCTCTCTGAGTGACATTGGCAAGGACAGGCCATCAATTTTCAGGAGTGGTTTAATTTCAGGACTTCAATGCCTTTTGGGGATGAAAGGGAGTCCAAGTTATGATTTGGTCATGATTTCCTGTGCAGCTCTCCGACGCAGTCTGTCCTTACAATAATACAAATGTAATTATATGAACATAAAAGCTTGAAATACTCACCGGGTTGCTGCTATGTGAGAATTTTCAAAAATGTGTGGCTCAGATACAGACTTTTTTCATCCATATAAGCTGTCCATTAAGTAAACCATAGTCCACTGGGCCCAGGAGCGCAGCCATTGTGTTCAAAGCGTTGCAATCCATCCGTTAGCACTATAGCCTCTGGGCAAATTGTAACTCAACTAAGATAGACTCCTGTGACATTTTCTAGTAGCAGTCGTAGTGTTTCTCTAGCAATTTTTCCCTTAAGCCGCTATTTCACACATGCTCTAATTCGATATAGTGAGGGTTTCTCACTCCTCTGCCTGGGTTGGCTTTGGGAATGTGAAGGAGAGGGAGGGGATAAACGTCCCAGGCTCCTAATGCTCCTATCTCTTGTCCCAGATAGCTGCACAGTACCAGACCAGCCCACTGATCACCATGGTGACCACGGGTAAAGGTTATTCATTCCACTTTACTTAGACACACATTAAACTGTCCAGGCTCCTTTATTGGAATGTCTGCCTGCTGACCCTTTAACTTTTTCTAAGAGTTTATTCAGCACACCTGCAAATGAAGTAAAGATCTAATTTTACAAGCTCCACAATACATTCCCTGCTATTATTTCCGGAGCCTAACCCTCATACGCAGCACCTTCAAATTGCCTCTATAGCACATTGTTATTATAGTAGGCTAAATGAACAGGTAGACAATTTCCTAAATATATCTAAATGAACAACCAACAAACATTTTTGAGGTGTCATACCATGAGGGTCCCCTAAACCCCCACAACGGTCATACATCCATGGGAATCATTTTATTTCATTTGATCATTTTACAGTGAAAAGAAATAGCTAGTTAACCCCAACTTTACTCCTGCTCACATAATGTAGCTTTTTATTCTGTGATTCATTCTTTCATTCTATAAAATAAATTATAATTTTTACACCCAACAGTCAACTCTCCCTACCGCTAAACTTTTCCCATCTCTATGACAAAGATAATAGTGGGGTGTGTTAAAACAATTCAGTGCAGTGTTATGAACCCGTCCACATACATAAAAAACAATGATGTGTTGCATGTATTATGACGGTCTGCTTGTTACATGCATTATCTGTGAGTGTGTCAGGATTCATCATCACCATCTAAGACACAACAGGAAGACAAACTTTGAGCAGGTGTTCATGAATAGCACACTTAGGGAGTGATTAGCACACTTAGGGAGTGATCATTGGGCATAGAACAGATATCTCTTTGATGACTGACGTGTAGAAAACAATGGAATTGAATTCGGGCCATTTCATACAATCCCAAGAACGAACTGACATAGCCTGTCCAATGGCCAACCTGGGTGAGTGGGTTTTCCAAGTTTTCCCCCAGTATATCCCTGGAACGTTAGCGTTAGCGACAGGGACTGTGTTTGTGGGCATCTGGATGGGCAACCGACCGATCGCAGATTCATTCAGGGATGTTCAGCACAGGAAAGTAACAATGCCTCTACAAGTGATTAAGCCAAAGTTGATTACCCCTTCCCAACCCTCCCGACAAAAAGAGGGACAAAAAAAAGGGCTATACACAGAACAAAACACCCTTCCCCCCCCAATGTTCAGCACATCATCGATGTCCTTCAGTCCAAAATGGCAGCACACACAATACTGTTAGTATGACAGAACAGTAAATCTATCTGCTGTATGTTGGTCTTAGAGCATGACAAGGAGATGACTGTGAGTGTGTGCAGCAGAGGTCCAAGTAGTAGAACAGTGAAAAGGTCCATGTCCTATTGAACCAGGTGAGCAGCAGGTACGGACCTCCCTATGTCCCTGTACATGGCATTACAGGTTGGTGGGTGGAAGGAAGGAGAAAGCTAATGACAACAACTGTCGATAATCAATTGCTGTCCAAAAGAAGCAATTTATCCATGTGACCTCGTCTTACTAAAACATACAAATCCATAGCAGCAGGTAGAGCTCGAGGAGGATCTCCCGCTCCAATTTCTTTTATACACACTTCCCATCATCCCCATTGACATGTAAATAATAATATGGAGATTTGCCAGTTCTGGGAAATGGTTGTTGTAGCATTTTTTTGTTTTGTTTTTTTACCCAACCAACATTGTCCTCTGTCATCATTCTCTGTGGGCAGATTTTTTTTCTTTTTACTTCATTCACAATCTTCCCCCCAATTCCCCTATCCTGGTGGTTGATCCAGAGATCATCGCTCTGGTTCAGACTCCAGGGCCAGGACCCTTTTGCGCTCGCGGCACTGCTTCTTGTGGGCGGGCCAGTCCCTTTGCTGGCATTGGGAGCCACAGTAGCGAGCCACCTGACAGCGACCACAGATGTTGAACTCTCTAAGCTGTGGACAGATGGAGACAAAATCAGACTGGTGGAAAGACACCTGTATGGGTTTTGTGACACTGTTCTGAGACTACCATATTAAACACCTCAAAATAGCAACAATATCTATGTCAGCCTCAGTAGTAAATAGGATCACAGAAATCCTCAAAGCCATATACTTCAATACTCCCTTCCCTAGAGTGAAAGTATATGGAGTGTGAAGATAACTGTAGATAGCTGAATATATGGTGGTAGCAGTACGTACTCTCCTCTCGATGAGCGAGCAGGGTGGGTAGTGACACTCATAGTAAGTACAGGAGCACTCCTCCTCCTCCACCAGCTCTCCGTTAGCGTTGTAGTACCGTGTACGACTGAGCTCCAGGTACTGCTCCTCTACGGGGTCAGCTGGTACCTGCTGGATGGCCAGCCAGTACAGAGACTGCTCTCTACAGGGCGAAAAAAATACCAGTTAACATACCTTTATGACAAGTGAAACATTTACAAGTAATACTAAGCTAAGTCTGAATAACCTTGTCTTTCCTCAGTAAATATTTTGTATTTTCCTCAGTAAAGAAGTGATGAATGCTAGGAGAGCGGAATGTAGCTCTAGTAATTGTAGTGGAGAAGTGCACAGCTATAATACCTTTGTTTGCTGGAGATTTCCTCTGGTTTGGGGCTCCAACCCAGGGGGACCAGTCGCAGGTTGTCCAGACGGTTATCGACAGTGACAGAGTTGATGTGGACAACTTGGAAGCTGGGAGCAATGCCTCCTCTGTGCTTCTCCCTGGAGAAACATTCAAATCGCCTTATGACTCAACCAGTCTGCCAGCGTCACACACAATAGGAAGCATGCACAGTTTGTTTGATGAAGGCAAAAAGCTGCCCTTACCAACACAGACTATGATGATGTATTCAGGAGCAGATTGTGGGGATGGGACATCAACTCACCAGAGCAGCTCATGCAGCGGCCTACCAGCCCAGCGCCCCTTGCCAATGTCGAAGGCATAAGCAAAGATCCTTGCCCCATTGCCATCTGCATCGACATCCATGCGTGCCTGAAAAATATGGTGTGGCATTTTTATATCCCAGCCCATTTCCTTATATAGCCATTTCCTTCTATAGTTTCAACAAAAGTCCAGTAGTTTTTTTGTTTTGTTTACTGGGGCCAGGATAGCGTGGCAATGGTATTTGACTAGAATTACTCTCACCACACCCTCCTTGTAAATCCCCACCCTCTTACCTCGAAGGCATAGTTCTCCACCAATGGTATGTCCTGTTCATCGATCAGTGTGTACTTTGTCTGCAAAGGAAAGGACAGTTAATGCCACCTAGAATGTGGGTTTACACTATTAGTGTGATGTACAGTGAGGGAAAAAGGTATTTGATCCCCTGCTGATTTTGTACGTTTGCCCACTGACAAAGACATGATCAGTCTATAATTTTAATGGTAGGTTTATTTGAACAGTGAGAGACAGAATAACAACAAAAAAATCCAGAAAAATGCATGTCAAAAATGTTATAAATTGATTTGGATTTTAATGAGGGAAATAAGTATTTGACCCCTCTGCAAAACATGACTTAGTACTTGGTGGCAAAACCCTAGTTGGCAATCACAGAGGTCATACGTTTCTTGTAGTTGTCCACCAGGTTTGCACACATCTCAGGAGGGATTTTGTCCCACTCCTCTTTGCAGATCTTCTCCCTTTGCAGATCTTCTCCAAGTCATTAAGGTTTTGGGGCTGACGTTTGGCAACTCGAACCTTCAGCTCCCTCCACAGATTTTCTATGGGATTAAGGTCTGGAGACTGCCTAGGCCACTCCAGGACCTTAATGTGCTTCTTCTTGAGCCACTCCTTTGGTGCCTTGGCCGTGTGTTTTGGGTCATTGTCATGCTGGAATACCCATCCACGACCCATTTTCAATGCCCTGGCTGAGGGAAGGAGGTTCTCACCCAAGATTTGACGGTACATGGCCCCATCCATCGTCCCTTTGATGCGGTGAAGTTGTCCTGTCCCCTTAGCAGAAAAACACCCCCAAAGCATAATGTTTCCACCTCCATGTTTGACGGTGGGGATGGTGTTCTTGGGGTCATAGGCAGCATTCCTCCTCCTCCAAACACGGCGAGTTGAGTTGATGCCAAAGAGCTCGATTTTGGTCTCACCTGACCACAACACTTTCACCCAGTTCTCCTCTGAATCATTCAGATGTTCATTGGCAAACTTCAGACAGGCCTGTATAGGTGCTTTCTTGAGCAGGGGGACCTTGCGGGCGCTGCAGGATTTCAGTCCAGTAGTGTGTTACCAATTGTTTTCTTGGTGACTATGGTCCCAGCTGCCTTGAGATCATTGACAAGATCCTCCTGTGTAGTTCTGGGCTGATTCCTCACCGTTCTCATGATCATTGCAACTCCACGAGGTGAGATCTTGCATGGAGCCCCAGGCCGAGGTAGATTGACAGTTATTTTGTGTGTTTCTTCCATTTGCGAATAATCGCACCAACTGTTGTCACCTTCTCACCAAGCTGCTTGGCGATGGTCTTGTAGCCCATTCCAGCCTTGTGTAGGTCTACAATCTTGTCCCTGACAACCTTGGAGAGCTCTTTTGTCTTGGCCATGGTGGAGAGTTTGGAATCTGATTGATTGATTGCTTCTGTGGACAGGTGTCTTTTATACAGGTAACAAGCTGAGATTAGGAGCACTCCCTGGGAGCCAGAAATCTTTCTGATTGAGAGGGGGTCAAATACTTATTTCCCTCATTAAAATGCAAATCAATTTATAACATTTTTGACATGCGTTTTTCTGGATTTTGTTGTTGTTATTCTGTCTCTCACTGTTCAAATAAACCTACCATTAAAATTATAGACTGATCCTTTCTTTGTCAGTGGGCAAACGTACAAAATCAGCAGGGGATCAAATACTTTTTTCCCTCACTGTAAAGGTCACAACAGTGAGGAGTGACACGACACTGAATCATGTGACCTAAAACATATGAAGGCAAGAGGATGTGAACTTTTTTTATAATAAGGGTTACATGGAGAACATTGGAGTTCTCTGAAATGAAAATGGATGGCCCTTTTACCTAAACCCTCCCTGAAGGCATGAACAAAAAAAAGAGACACTACCCTATACCCAAAATAATAATTAAAACAAAGTGGATAGCAGAGAACATGTCTACTGTTTACTATCACTTCTTGGACAGATCAGAGCCGTAGATATTCAGTTTTAGAAACTGTTCTTCATCCTGTAGGCATTACATGGCAATGTAGGAGTTTTGATAGCGCACAGGGCTGCAGACCAGACCACCGTGGACAAGAGTAGGGGTGGAAAGATATCCTTTATAATTTAGTAAAAGCATTGCATGAATCGATCAGCGTATTTGACGGTCCGAGAAAAAAAGAGTTTTATACATTGCATTCGGAAAGTATTCAGACCCCTCGACATTTTGTTACGTTACAGTCTTATTCTAAAATGTATTTAAAAAATAAAAACTCAAATCTACACACAGTACCCCATAATGACAAAGCGAAAACAGGTTATACATGGTTGCATATTTATTACAAATAAATAACAGAAATACCTTATTTACATAAGTATTCAGATCCTTTGCTATGAGACTCGAAATTGAGCTCAGTTTAAATCCTGTTTCCATTGATCATCCTTGAGATGTTTCTACAACTTGATTAGAGTCCACCTGTGGTAAATTCAATTGATTGGACATGATTTGGAAAGGCACACACCTGTCTATATAAGATCCCACAGTTGACAGTGCATGTCAGAGCAAAAACCAAGCCATGAGGTCGAAGGAATTGTCCGTAGAGCTCCGAGACACGATTGTGTCGATGCACAGATCTGGGGAAGGGTACCAAACATTTTCTGCAGCATTGAAAGTCCCCAAGAACACAATGCCTCCATCATTCTTAAATGGAAGAAGTTTGGAACCACCAAGACTATTCCTAGAGCTGGCCGTCCGGCCAAACTGAGCAATCAGGGGAGAAGGGCCTTGGTCAGGGAGGTGACCAAGAACCTGATGGTCACTCTGACAGAGCTCCAGAGTTCCTCTGTGGAGATGGGAGAACCTTCCAGAAGGACAACCATCTCTGCAGCATTCTACCAATCAGGCCTTTATGGTAGAGTGGCCAGACGGAAGCCACTCCTCAGTAAAAGGCACAACAGCCCAGTTAGTTTGCCAAAAGGCACCTAAAGGACTCTCAGACCATGAGAAACAAGATTCTCTGGTCTGATGAATGCCAAGCGTCACATCTGGAGGAAACCTGGCACCATCCCTACGGTGAAGCATGGTGTTGGCAGCATCATGCTGTGGGAATGTTTTTCAGCAGCAGGGACTGGGAGACTAGTCAGGATCGAGGGAAAGATTAACAGAGCAAAGTACAGAGAAATTCTTGATGAAAACATGCTCCAGAGCGCTCAGGACCTCAGACTGGGGCGAAGGTTCACTTTCCAACAGGACAACGACCCTAAGCACATAGCCAAGACAACGCAGGAGTGGCTTCGGGACAAGTCTCAATGTCCTTGAGTGGCTCAGTCAGAGCCCGGACTTGAACCCGATCGAACATCTCTGGAGAGACCTGAAAATAGCTGTGCAGTGACACTCCCCATCCAACCTGACAGAGCTTGAGAGGATCTGCAGAGAAGAATGGGAGAAACTCCCCAAATGCAGGTGTGCCAAGCTTGCAGCGTCATACCCAAGAAGACTCGAGGCTGTAATCGCTGCCAAAAGTGCTTCAACAAAGTACTGAGTAAAGGGTTTGAATACTTATGTAAATGTGATATTTCCATTTTTGTTTTATTTTATAAATTTGCCAATAAAATCTAAAAAACTGTTTTTGCTTTGTCATTATGGGGTATTGTAATTAGATTGATGAGGGGGGAAAAAACAATTTAATCAATTTTAGAATAAGGCTGTAACGTAACAACATTTGGAAAAAGTCAAGGGGTCTGAACACTTTCCGAATGCACTGTAAATATTTAATGCAATTCTACATCATTTTACATATTAACAGAATATTTTTTAAATACCGCACAAATTACCGAAATTACAGGCTAAGAATGGACAGAGAGATAAGATTAACGCATAGGCCTATCATACTTCTCCAATGCCAAATCAGTGTGTCTTGTTTGCAACGAAACTGTCCCTGTTCGCTAATAATTAAATCTGAGACATCATTAGGAATCTGAGCATGGTATTTTCAAAAGTTAGGCCTACCTTTCCACCCCAGACAGAGGCCTACCAACGCAGAAAAATGTAAGCTTTAACTGCTGGCTACTCTTCTTCCGTGAATTAACCCAATGAGAGAAGGTCACAAGTGTTTCCCTAAAAGCTGTCTGGGTTTAAACATCTTCTATTGTACAGAAAGTGAATAGCTTATTCAATTGATAGTGACAGAATTAGATTACTTCCCAAGCAAAGTACATTGTTTGTCTCCTCGGCTATAGAAGGTTGCAGCTCAGCCTCTGAATATCAAAGAAACTAAAAAATGATATCCCCATATGCATCGGAGTCACGTCTTTCCCGGGTATTGTACAGCTTGTTTCTAGCATAACGCACTGTTATAGATCACTTTATATAATCGGATCAGTTTTATTTTATTCAAAATCTTAAGCTAACAATGGGTAGGCCTGTGCTTTTTGCCATTGTCTTTAATAAAAAGGTAGGCCTATGGCATACCCTCTCAATTAGTTTTGGTTTAACTTAACAGCCCTTAACGGACATGGAGGTAGGCTATTTAAAGTGTGCATGGTTGGTGGAGGAATCGACCGACAAATCTATGGCTATAGCAGCCTACAGCCTAATTTTGTTTGTCAAACAGGTAGATCTAACGCTTATTTCTTAAACAGGAAGAAACAAGTGGCAATACAAAGCCCTCGTTATTAGTAAAGTCTAATTAAGATGTTGAAATAGATTATGCCTACTCTAATTTTCCTACTTTCAGCACCATGAGCTGTCCCATTTAGCGATTGATTGTGCCACGGCTGCTGCTTCAAGTTTCTGCACCACAATGTAAGTTACTTGAATCTGGCTTATTGTGAGGTCAATAAATGATAAATACATCACGGGCAAGAAACATATAGTTCTTAATAAAATCAATTATAGTAGTAGCAATCTATCAAAGTTGACCTCCAGTCCTCCTTCTCATCTTCACGCTCTCCTTCTCAAACGGAACAGAATTTAGGGTATAGGCTAGTCTGTGCACAAGATAGTGAATTTTTTGGACTAGGCCTAATAAATAAATACAAAATCAGAACTGCCACTGTAGGCCTACACAGCACAGCCATTGGTTAGGCAAC